AGATTCCCAAGAATACTATGAATAACCAAGATACAAACAAATGGATCTGTCCACCCATCCATCCAGAGTTTTCATTTAAGGCACAAATAATCAGGTTCAAATATTCGTATTTTGAATACATTATGTGAAGTCTCAGCTGCTTTTAAAAGTCCATATTGCTGGGAAATGTGGAAGGAAAGAGAGGAAGAGGATGACTAGTAGCATATAGTCCATGGATTCAGATACTATGAGGATAGCCTCTGTATTGGAGGCTATCCAAAGGGATAGGTTGGGGAAGATAATTCTAGATAAATTCTAGTGGCTCTAAGAGTTGGCCCTGAATGGGGCATATAATAAAATATATTATTACTTAATAGTTCATTTAGAGTAATAATTGCATATTTCCCCCCAAAATGTGTTGCCATTTAAAAATAATTCCGTCAATGTCTTGAGAGAGGAAACAAGGTTTAAATTTTCTGCCCATTTTATATTTATATTGTATTGTCTGCCTTCCATGTTGCAAAAGAGAATTTGTTATTTTTTGTAACAAATTTATATTTATATTATGTTGTTTTATGTTTTAATGGTGTTGTGTTTCATTATCATATTATCATATTATAAACTGCTCAGATTGTGATGATCTTTAAAGTTTTTAAATTAGTAAAATATTTTGCTTTACTTTCCAAGTTTAACCTTAATAAGATTAAATATTTGGCAAAATCAGGTGTAATCCATTTTCTAGGATAATCCCTAATTTAGGAATAGTACTCCTGGATCAGATCAAGGCCCATCTAAGTCCAGCATTTTGTTTTTCACAGTCTCATTAAATGTCTCCAAATTACTTGGAAAGAAGAAATGGTATCACTGCCCCATGTGGAAACAAATTCTTCCAAGTTTGTTATGCACTGCCTATAGAAGTATTTTTGTTTTGTCTAAGTCTTTTTTTTTTTACTTTCTGTATGTCATAAATGATTCTTTACACCTTAGTCATGTCTCTTTTCAACAATCTTTTTGTCCAACCTAGACTTTCTAACTCTCTAACTTTTTTTATAGGATTTTGAATCTCAACCCACTTTGATTCCTGTGCTTTTCCAAGTTCTTTAATAACTTTTTTTTACTATGCATTAGAAAAGTATGCAGTATTCCAGATGCCAATATACAATAGATTTTGCATTTTCTTTTTATCCCTTTTTCTCTGGGAGCATTATGAGTCATCGTTTTATCCATATTAGTTATTGTTTCTTTTACTTCTGTAAGGTGAAAAAGCAGAGTTGCCACTGCTCTGACCTTCATGTTAAACTTAATTAGCATGCATTTGAGTAAATAATATCTATATATATCGATTGTGGGCAGTGAGCTTTCCATTCCATTGAACATGGACAGTATATAAGGACATGACATTTTTTTGCCAAGATCTAAATCTGCTCTGAAGAAGCCAACAGCACAATTAATAAAACATCAAGTCATGTTCATACTGCAATGTCTGGAAGTAATTTGATGAATTTCAGGTCTCTTCATAAAATTAGTTGTTACACTATAATTCCCATTTTGCTTGAATGATAGAATTTATCATAATGAAATTACTTCAAATGGTAAGTGACATTGCAATTATTTATACTCTGTCATTTTTAGAGATATAACTCTGAGATTAAGTAACACGAGAAATAAAAGTTATGCATTTGTTATATTGGGGAACAACATCCAATTGTTTAAAAGCAAATTGTATATTTTTGATTGGATTTTTTAATAATTACTAGATAATTTGCTCTATTAAAAACTTAAACAGTGAATAAATACCCACATATAAGTACAGTTTGTGAGAATTCAGGTATGTAATCTGGCTAAAAGAATATCCATAATATTATCTGTAGGATAATCCTGGTTATTTACACAATAATCAAGCATTCAGAGGAAATGAATTCTGATGCTTCCCTTTTATGAATTTGGAGCAACTGAAGATCAAAGAGTTTGAGCATCTTGCAGAAGAGAAGCAGCCATATTCATCTAGTTTATGTTACAGATATATAATGATCCACTCTGAACCCAATATGGGTTCTGAATGTCATTTTCAGAGTGAAAGATGCTTGCCAAGATTAGAAGCCAAAAATTTGTCATCACTCAGATCGTTAGATTGAATAATCACAGCATGAGGAACTAGAGGATAAGCAGTTCAAAATCCTCAGTTGCTCTCTAGAACAGAGCTTTTCAACCTTTTCACCCATTGGATCACTTTTAGGATATGGCAATATCCGAGTACCACCAGTTGATTAGCAAGGTGTCAAAAACCTGATGACCCCCTCCAAAAATGAAAAAAGTGGTAAAGTACAGGTTGTCCTCGACTTACAACAGTTCGCTTAGTGACTCTTAGAAGTTACAATGGCACTGAAAAAAGTGCCCCCCAAGACACAACTGAGCAAGACACCTGCCTGGCCACCCGGCGGCACTCTTCCTCCTGTCTGAGGTTTTCATTATTTTGAGCATTTCTGTTGAGGATTGGCAGAGGGGGTGGGGTGGGGGAGTGTTTGGTTTTTATTCCCTCCGTCTGATGGGTGGTTGCAGGTTTTGGTCAATTCACATGACCCTGGGACACTGACCGTCACGAATATGAATCATTTGCCAAGCATCTGAATATAAATCATAAGACCCTGGAGATGCTACAACATTCCAGCTGATTGGTGTTTCTTCAGGGCTCAGCAGAAGCACCAGGATCAGCGCCAAGCTCCAGCTGGAGCCTGGCGCTTCCACTGACAGCCCCGAAGAAGCGCCGATCAGTTGGAAAGCGGCACTGATCTTGGCACTTCCGCTGAGCCCTGACAGCCCTGCAGCTCCAGCCATCTCTCGCTCAGGCTTGTGCATTGCTGCCACCAGTTCAGCTCATTCCCCTCCCCTGCTACTTTTCTAGGATGGTCACCTACCACCTGCCAATGTACCACAGGTGGTACCCGTACCACTGGTTGAAAAGCTCTGCTCTTGAACATTTAGTTGCTAGAACAGAGAAATATTTGATACCTTATATCAATTGAATCTTCCTCCCTCCCTCCGTCCCTCTCACATTGACTCTCACCTCAAAATTTAACAGAATCCAGGTCTACTCATTCAGCAGTGTAAGAGAACTAGCACTGAACTATTCAAATGGGGCCAAAACAATATAAAATATAGCATATAGGTGAGAGGAGAAAAATCCAGCCATTTCTTTTCATCAGATAAGGGTCTAGTACTCTTCAACATCTTCATCAATGATTTGGATGAGGGGACAGATGGGGAACTCATCAAATTTGCAGACGACACCAAGCTGGCAAGAATAGCCAACACTCCAGAAGATAGGCTTAAGATACAGAAGGATCTGGACAGACTTGAACATAGGGCGCTATCTAACAAAATGAAATTTTGATGAAAAAAGTAAGGTTCTACATTTAGGCAAGAAAAACCAAATGTGCAGGTTTAGTATATGTGGTACCTTGCTCAATAACAGCAACTGTGAGAGGGATCTTGGAGTCCTAGTGGACAATCACTTAAATATGAGCCAGCAATGTACTGCAGCTGCCAAAAAAAAAGCCAACAGAGGGATAGAATCAAGATCATATGAAGTGCTAATACCACTCTACAATGCTTTGGTAAGGCCACACTTGAAATACTGTATCCAGTTTTGGTCAGCACAATGTAAAAAAGATGTTAAGACTCTAGAAAGAGTACAGAGAAAAGCAACAAAGATGATTAGGGGACTGGAGGCTAAAAGATACAAGGAACGGTTGCTGGAGTTGGGTATGTCTAGTTTAATGAAAAGAAGAACTAGGAGTGACATGATAGCAGTGTTCCAATATCTCAGGAGTTGCCGCATAGAAAAGGGAATCAAGCTATTCTCCAAAGCACCTGAAGGCAGGACAAGAAGCAAGATGAAAACTAATCAAAGAGAGAAGCAACCTAGAACTAAGAAGAAACTTCCTGACAGTTAGAACAATTAATCAGTGAAACAACCTGCCTCCAGAGGCTGTGAATGTTCCAACACTGGAAGTTTTTAAGAGACTAGATTAGATGACCTCCAAGGTCCCTTCCAACTTTATTATTATTATAGATAGAACAACGCCTTGTACTTGAGCATAAATATCACTTTTTGCTAGAAATGCAGCAGTTCCTGATAAAACACCCTCTTAGTTAAGTTCTCTAGTTCCCAATTATGGACGGTCATCTGCCTTTTTCAGTCATTTCTGTTATGAATGCACATAGTTCTTTGATTGCAAGAGCTTTGGCTCATAATTATTTAAAAAAAAATACCAAGATGTCATTAGCTGGCCATCTTTTTTGGCTGCTTTTGATATCACAACAATTTCTCATTAGACCATATATCAACTTCTCAGAGTATATAAATAATTTAGAAGTCCAGAATGTTATTGTTGCAGTTATTTGGCAATAGCACGTCCTTCCTCAGAGAAGCAAAGACAGATGCATTTCCTTTCCTGCATTGGAAAGGAAAATTAAATGCTATCACCATATGGATGATGTAAAACTAATAGTAAACATAGTATAATGAGGGAGAAGATACAGTTAAGAGATCTATTTTGGATTCTTCTATAATAGGAGATTGGTGAAATATGTATGAGAGTTTTTAAGCCAGATAGGATAAAATACAACAAACTATTTTGAATGGGTCAGATTCATACCACTTTGCTAGTGGAAATGATAATTTTAGCTAGTATTTTTTAATTTGCGCCTTGCAAATTAGCTTGTATATGTTTCTTTGCTTCAATCTTTAATCTGTTTGATATGGCTGGCACCATAGTACTAATATAGGCTCTTTGATGTGTTGATTGTAAAGTACTGATTGGATGTTGTGCTGATTATAGTCATTTCTCTGTTTTTAATGCTGCTTTTTATTGATGTTTTGTATATTTGTAAGATTTTTTAATTTGTCGCCTAGGTGTTTTAATTGCTGTGAGCCACTAAGAATCATTGACATGAGATAAGCAGCTATCCAATAATAGGAATAAATCGTAAATATAGCTAAATTGGCTTATTGACTGTACCTTGTCTGCATTCACCTGCTTAGTACAATGTTTTCACCAGTCTTATCATCTAGATTTTGAGGGTAAGACCTAAAAAATGGGACTATATATAGGAGAGAATGTTAGAATAACTAAATGCAGTCTGAACTTGACATATATTCAAAATCAAGCAACTGATGAGAGTGGCCTTTAATTTAGAATGGTCTGCATTTGTATGTATATGTATACACATGCCCAAGCAAACTTTTCCTGAAAGCTCCAAGTCAATCAAGGTCTGATCTTAAATGTAAGCTATCTCTGAGAAAGTAGAAACTAGACTTGCAACTGCCAATAAAACTAAGTTTGAGTTATAATTAATGTATGAATTTCTAAAAAAAAAAGTTTCTAGATGCTAAAAATTTCTTGTTCCCAGTTTTCTATAATCTATTTTACATAACTAATTAATTGTACCATTCAGTGCTATTCAACCACAGAAGGGGTAGAGGACGGGATTGGACACAATTCTAGAAATGGAGGAAACTTACTTCAAATCTAGTCATGCAAAGTACCGTTTATCTTTTACTAGTCATTTGAAAGACTGCAGATTCTTGTTTCTCGGAGTGTGTACAAACCGCAAAATTAGTGTTATTTTCAACTCAAAACAAAAACAGGAAATTAGGCTGAACTGAAACCCAAACCAGGAATCTTATGGGATATATAAGGGAAGGCTGAATGTGTAGGCTAACTTACCAGTCTCCCCAGAGCCATTCTTTCTCTACCCACTCCCTTAAAAAAATGCCTTCAAATCAGGTTTTTTTACTCTTGATAACAAGTTTTTGCAGTTTCCTTGGCAGCATTTTTAGAAGGGACTTGCCATTATCTCAGTCCTGGGGCTGAGACAGACTAGTTGGTTTCAAGACTAGAACTCAGAGTCTCCCAGTTCTAGTCTGATGTCTTAACGATTGCACCAAAATGCTAATCTCCACATAGTTGCTGCCAGTGACCCTATCTTTTTCTTGAATCAATTCTGCCTGGAACACATGTTTCATATCTATGCCTAGTTCAAGTATGTGTGCTGTCAAAGGCTGTTGTTTGCACATAATATTTTGCTTATTTCTTTTTAATATAAGTTTAGACATATTTTCAAATGGTTTTTCTCTAGTGCTAGAAACAATTTAAGGGCTCAAATAAACATACTGTGTTTCCCCGAAAGTAAAACCTATCCCCAAAATAAGCCCTAGCTTGATTTTTGGGGGTGGGCCTTTTCAGAAGGCCTCTGCAGCCAAGAACTGAGGTATGGATTCAATTCATAGCTCGGTTCTCAGCTGCAGAGGCCTTCTGGAAAGGCCTCTGATCTGACTGCAAAATGCAGGCTGGAGCTCCATTCTCGGCTGCAAAATGAAGCTGCTCCTTTGGCTGCAGAAGAAATGGGCTGGCTGGGTGAGACTGTCAATGCCGGAGGTGAGTGGAAAAGACACCCCGAAAATAAGACCCAGTGCCTCTTTTGGAGGCAAAAAAATAAAATAAGACCGGGTCTTATATTCGGGGAAATATGGTATATGTATCCATGAAATGAGCAGTATGTCAGGTATTTATATTCATTTTTCAAGTTGGTCCTTAATATTTCACTTACTTACCTTCTTTAAACTAATCAAGGAGAGAAGCAACCTAGAAATTTCCTAAAGTTAGAATAATTAATCAGTGGAACAGCTTGTCTCCAGAAGTTGTGAATGCTCCAACACTGGAAGTTTGTAAAAAGAGATTGTACAACAATTCATCTGAAATGGTATAGGGTTTCCTTCCTGAGCAGGGGGTTGGACTAGAAGACCTCCAATGTCCCTTCTAACTCTGTTGTTCTATTTAAACTGAACTCAGTTGTGGAGCTAATTGGAATTCTACCACTAATGAAATCAGTAATGAAAATAAAGCTTTATATACATGTGTATTTCATTTATGCCTTGCTTTTCATCCAAGAGCTCAAAGGTGACATAAGTGTTCTCAATTTCCTCATTTCTAAGGTAGATAGGTGGTGTGGTGTGGTGTAGTTGTGTGTAGTGTGGTGATGGTAGTGGTGCTGTGTGTGTGTGTGTGTGTGTGTGTGTGTGTGTGTGTGAGAGAGAGAGAGAGAGAGAGAGAGAGAGAGAGAGAGAGAGAGAGAGAGAGAGACTTTGTCTATATACATCCAGAAGGAATAAGACTTATAAAAGAAAAGCAATTCAGGAAAGGCAGGAATTACTGTTTCTGTTTTGATCTCTTCTACTACCGGTATGTCAGGCTTGGCTTCAAACACATTATGCCTGGTGAGCTTTTAGCAGAAAAGTTGCTCTGGCCATTTAGAATTTTTTGCAATACAAGTAAGATACAACAATCAGATTAGAAATGAATAACATTAGGTGGATTTTTAAGGTTTAGATAGAACTTTCTTCTATTCTGTAGTGATATATTTCTAGCTTTTACAACAAACTTCTCCTTCTGCATTTGACATGTAACTTTTTTTTCTAGGCAAGTATTTGAAAAGAATTGCCTTCCAGTGAAGAACTTTGCCTTTTGAGTTCCATGTAGAACCTAACTGATAGGGCAGCTGCAGTTTCAGGAACAGGCTTTCTTTGATGTGCTTTAAGCCCCTTCTTGGCTGTACTTTTTAGTTACTTAGAAATCCTGGGTACACCATATTCAAACATCACAGATGATCTTTCCTGATGCTTTAATATTTCAAAGTGTCAAATGTGTGTTTTGTTTTTCCTTTGCTGTACAACTTTTTAAAATAAATATCTTCTTTATGTTTCGTACACAAATATTAAAATACAATCTAACATAAAGAGGGAAGGGAGGGGAATAACAGGATATAGCTTTTAAATAAAAGCAAGCACATAATTTTTGCTGTCCGCAGAAGCTATAGTCTGTTCTTCATATGATCAAGCAATTCACTATTGTTAAAAATGATTTTGCTATCATTCTTCAATAGTTCATAAGATATACACGATGGATAAAATTATAGTGGCGTGCTAGATTTTCCCTACTTTGGGATTTTATTGCAAAATTTATGCAGTATTTTATTAGAAAATTTTCTTTCTACTAAGATGACTAAGGATAACTTATGTTCTTAGATGCTAACTTTTTTCATAAGTGAGATTATGAGGCCTGCCAATTTACTTGGTCTTTTGAGAAGTGTTGTTTTGATAGAAATACAGGAAATTGCCTCATAACTGCAAAAATTACTAGCCTATGAGAGTCTTTAGGACTTGTTTTTCATGCCAGTTTGTAACAAGCCAAATAATTGGAAATGTTTGTATAGCATTGTCTTAAATATAATTCCATTTTCTAATGACATATTATTTAATGTTTAAGTTTCTTAAGAAGCACTTAAGAATAAACTGTTCTATAACAGATATAAATTTCTGTTTTATTGAAGACCTGTGCAATTAAAAAAGTCCATACAAGCTCTTTTCTGATTTCTTATTTGTAGCTATAAGAAGTTTTAGAAAAATTTCTTTTCATGTGTTTTCATCAATTCTTTATTGTATTTTATTGCTTCTAGCTGGCAAACCTGGTGTATTAATTGTGAAGATCTTAGAAATGCACGAAGAATGCACTCTTTGCATAGCTATCTGTCATCAACTGGGACAAATTTGTACTGATGGTTCTATCATAAAAGAAATTGTTGAAATTCAGCCAAGACTTAAAGTTCTTTTTGCAAAAGAAACAACAGCTCATTTGAAGGCAATACCACAGGATGTCATATATATTCATCCTCCTTGGTAAGTATGTAAAACATTTTCAACCAATCATACCATAGCTAATTTGGTTTAGTGGTTAAGGCACCAGACTAGAAAGCAAGAGATTGGGAGTTCAAGGTCCATCTTGGTCATGAAAGTCAGCTGGGTGACCTTGGGCCAGTCACACACTCTCAGCCCAGTTCACCTCACAGGGTTGTTGTTGTGAGGAAAATAGGAGGAGGAATATGTGTTGGATATGTTCGCCATGTTGAGTTATTTGTAAATGAATGAATGAATGAATGAATGAATAAATAAATAAATAAATAAATAAAGTGGGATATAAAATAAATAAAAATACCTAAGTGCTCCTTTAGCAGAGTAGCCAGTAGCTCTCTTTAGAGGAGACCCAAATTTAACTTAGATTTTATTTTTCTTTATTCTAGTAATAATGTAGTTACATTTGTGATCTATTTCTTATGTTCCTGCATTTTGCTAAATGCTAAGATACAGTAATGATTCAACCATTAACAAATTTAATTTTCATTTGAGAAAACATAATTTAAAGAGAATCTAACAGGAAAATAGCTTCACTATTGTACTGTTTTTGCTGATAATCATGCAGAATTGATGCTATATGCTAAAGACATTTATTCTTCATCTCATTTCACTCTGATATGAGATGAACAGTACTTTGTTTTCCCCAATAAAAGAGAGGTGGAAGTTCCAAACAAAAGAAACCGAAGAAATTCTGTTACCATTGTTTTTATAGAGGCCTTTGATATCATCTTTGCATTTTGAAAAGTTATAGATATTTAAGCAGACAGTATGGATAAAAAAATAAACATCTAAATCCTCACCATCAAAAAGAAAGTAAGTCCTTTTTACATTCCTGCTTTGAAGATTTTGTAGAAACAGAAAAAGTAAAAAGTTCTGATAAGGAAAAAACACTGAACCACCCTACAATAAAATTTAACAAAATTCAGAGTCAGTTACGGCAGAAGCACTGCTGGAAAACAGATATTATTGGACAATCTGTAGATGATTTACCCCTTCAAAGAACTGGAGATAATGAACTATTTTATATGGGGGGGAAAATGGAACAGCTTGCTTAGCTTCTGCCTAGTGTCATCATTCAAAATAACATTTGACATCCAAAAGTCTTATTTTAAAGCAGTTGCTTTTCATCTACTTGAATTGGGAGCAATAAGCAAATTAGTCTTTTATCAAATTCTTTCATATTTATTGTAGTACATGCTTGATAATCAAATCTGTAGAAATTTGGGGATTTAGAATTTTTTTGTATTTTTTTTGCTACTTAAAACAAAGCCAATTCCTAGCTTTTTTTACTTTTAACAATAATATTGGTTTAAATGTTCATGTGACTTTGTTAACCTT